GACCCTACATAAATAACTACAGGGAACTAGGAATTCTGAAAGTGAGAGAAATGGTCTTCCCCAGGGAGAACACCAGTAGGTTATCAAATACCAAATGGTCAGCTCTGGAAATGCATAACAACATTATACAGACTAAGGAGGGTATATTAGAAGTATATACATTGATATGTATATATGCATGTAGCAACAATTAATGTAAAAGGAAGCCATATATTTGAAGAGAACAAGGAGGTACATGGGAGGGTTTAGAGGAAGAAAAAGGAGAGATGAAATGACATATTATATCATAATCTAAAAGGTAAAAGAAAAAACAGATGTTCTCTTGAGATCTGAAAACCACCTTCAATGGAGAAACTAGGAGATATATTCCAATTGTTCTGTCCTGTTGGATAGTGATATATTTGTAACACACACAACTCAGAAAGCAACATTGGAGGATAACAGTCAGCAATCAAGTGGAACACCATCTTTCAGAAAGGTTCTCATTATGAATAGGTAAGGACTTCTAGTCCCCAGATGACTATTCTTGTATCTACCCCAAAATAATATAATTAACACTTAATGTTCAGAATCCATAGTGCAAATGGAGCAATTCCAGTCAGAATACCAGTGTGGTGTGCAACATACAGCACACAGGAGACATGCAGTGGAATTAGCATATCTCACATGGCATCCCTTGAGGACTCTCTAAGCACAGACATAAGGAACAAGAACCAGACGTACTTACCTGGGATTGAAAACTCAAGGGGGTCACTAGGCAGTGATCACAAGTAGGAATTGTGTTTGTTAGAGCCAAAGCATCTGTAGGTCCTCAGGTTCTCCAGGCTCACATGGGAGATGAGGAATGTGTTGTGGTCCTGCTGTGAGCAGTTCTGGGGAAAGGAAGCATTTCCACCTCTGCAGAGGATGAAGATATTAAAGGAACCGTGTATGTGGCAGTGTAGAGTTGCATTGATTTCTGAGAATCCCTGAGGTCCTGAATCAACAGTAAGGGATGGCTTCTCCATGTAAACACCTGGAAGAAAAAGACTCTGATATTAGTTGCTTGTGGTGACACATTCCTTTAATCTGAGCACTTCATAGACAGGGGTAGGTGGATTGTTTTGAGTTTAAAAACAACCTGCTCTATATTGAGGCTTCAAGTTCAGACAGAGTTACATGGTGAGACCCTGTCTCAAAAAGGTTACAAAAAGACGCTTGTCTTAGTTAGGGCCCATGTTGCTGTGATGAAAGACCATTACCAAAAAGCAAGTTGTGGAGGAAATGTTTTATTTGGCTTCCCCTTCGCCAATACTGTTCATCACTGATAGAAGTCGGGACAGGAACACAAGCAGGGCAGGATGCTAGAGGCAGGAGCTGATGCAGAGGCCATGGACAGATGCTGCTAACTGACTTGCATCCCCTGGCTTGATCAGCCTGCTTTCTTATAGAACCCAACATCAGCCCAGTAATGGCACAACCCATCTTGAGCTGGGCCCTACCCCATTGATCACTACTTGAGAAAATGCCTTGCAGCTTTATCTCCTGGAGGCATTTCTTCAACTGAGTCTCCTTCCTCTCTGATGACTCTAGCTTGTAACAAATGGACACAAGTTGACCCTAAACTATCCAGTATAACTCTGTTATTTAAAACATGATGAAAATAAGCCTACATTTCAGAGTCTGACCAGAGAGAAGAAAAGATGAAGACAAAAGGAATCTCATCCATTGCCAATCTATAGGGATCACAAAACATGTTTGTATCATTTTCCATGAACCAGGACCATAGAGAGTGTCTATGTATATACAGAAGACTGCTGTCAATTCCCATGAACCCCATCCTTTAGGAGATTTAAGTACTGTTCTGAAAGGAACCTAGAACAAGGTCAGTGTAGAGGGAGGGTCACAAATCAAAACAGAGGGTCTGGGGATGAATCTTGGTCAAGTTCTTGCCTAATATACACAATGCCCGGGAGTCTATAATCATCACCATAACAATGGTGTTATTGCCAGGTCTATCATGACAGTACTAGGAGACTAGAAGCAGAGGGGTCATAAGTACAAGATTTGTTTGGATACACAGCAAGGTCAAGGCCAGACTGAGATATTTGAGAACTGGTCTCCAAAAACTGCCAAGAAAAATGGAAATTGAAAAGGAAAGGATGAAATGAGAGAAGAGAAAGAAAGTGGTGGGGGAGGGCAGGGGAGGTGAAGAGAGAAGGGGAGGGGGGTAGAAAAGAGATGAGAGGAGAGGGGAGAGATTCATATATGAGAGCAGAGACACAGGGCAGGGCCTGTGATGGGGCAAATGTGATTCAGTGAGGTAGGCATCTGAGACTGAGTCTGAATGACAGTGTGCTTGGGCAGTTACTCACCTGTCACCACCAGCTCCAGTTTGTCACTAAATTGTGGCGATTCGCCTCCCTTGGAATAGTCACAGTAGTAAATCCCAGCACTGCCTTGTGTCATATTCTGCAGACTGAATTCAAACACCTCCTGGGCTCCCTGTGGGATGCAATCAAACCACTTTCCATCCTGCACATAATGGGATAGACGCACTCCAGTCACTCCTGGAGGGGTCCTGCAGAAGATGGTCACAGCACTGCCTGTGGAAATCACAGCTCCTGGAACTGCCCAGATGGAAGGCTGGGGTGGTGGCCCTGAAGAGACACAGGAAAAGAGAACTAGTCCTCTGATGTCAGGAGAGCCAGGTTCCCAAGGAGCTATAGAGTAGCTCCCACAACAATTACTAA